ATAAAAAACCTAACCTAACCCCAATATAGAAGACCCTAATCCTAAATTAATCGAAAAAATTATTAAATATAAGTTGCCTCCGCTTTAGACGTCCCCCATTTTTAGTAATAAGATTTTCAAACCTTATCGTTATAATCTAATTTATTAAATTTGACTCAAACCTACTTTTGTTCATTGGGTTCTATCAAGCTTTCAGAATTGGATAGTATTCTTTCAATACTTATAAGCATTCGAGAACATCAATTATGGCATGTATATAGATAATATTAAATGCAATTGCAAAAACGCGTGCAATAAAAATCATTGTAAAAAAAAGAATTTGCTTTGTGGTAATAGTTGTTATCCTAGTAATCGTAGATGTAAACACTTTATTTAATGCTTTTAATTTAATTAGCTTGCAGTGCGCTGCATTATAATGTAAATAAACCTTATCTTAAAATAACGAATCTTATTGTAAACTGAATTTGAATTCTTTAACAACTCGAACACGATTTAGAATCCTATTATAACCTAAGTTTATTCGAAATCAACCTAAGTGGATTCTAAATCCATTCTAAACGTACAACATATATCGGCGGATTTGAGGAATTGGTTTACATGGGCTTGTAAAATGCACTCTAAATTTTAGTGACCCCTATGATTATTGATTTTTTTTTTTTGCGATTGCGATTGCGATTGTGCATCAATTTATCGTTTGTAATGCTAGCTTTATAATCGCAATCGCAATCACGATCACAGAAAAAATTAATAATTATAATAATGTAAGTTTTTTACTATGTATATGTGTATAAAAATAATTTAAGGAATAATTAACAATAACGATACAAAACTTTTTTAACGTTATTTTTAATTACTCCTTGGATTGTTTTTTTTAATGCCCATGTACAGTACTGTAAATCCAATTCCGCAAATCCTCCTATATGTTACAGTTAGAAATATTGAAAGAATTTCTTTTCACAAATCGCATTTGCATAATGAAATCCGTGAGACATGTGACGTACAATGTGTAAAAGGTGATTTATCGGATCTGTACTACCATACAGTACTAATATATAAGTATAGATTAAATTTTTATCAAAAAAATAACAATGTCTTTCTTTTCGTCTATTCCGACCATATTTTCTACTGTATTAAAACATTATACTGAAGGCCCTCCTAAAAAATCATGGGATCTAAAATTTCATTTGACCTTAGCAGTGGTTAAAAGCGATAATCAATTTTCAAAAAAACCTATTGAACAATCTCGAAAGGAAATGGAAGATTATCTTAAGCCTGAAATTCCTTCTAATATAACTATAAAAGATGTTATATTAGATGAGGAATATAGGCAAAAGAGTAAAACGCATTTAGAAAAGATTTTGAAACAATATGATGATGTGTTACATGAGGGATGGAAAGATCCAAATAATCAAGGATTGCATGGGGAATGGTTGTATATTAATGAAAAAACTGATCATGTGGTTTTATATTTGCATGGTGGTGGATTTTGTATCGGTTCAGCTAAATCTGTTAGAACAGTTACACTCAAATTGGTTGAACTTACTGATTCTCGAATTTTTGGTAGGTTTTTCGAATTAACTGCTTTGTAATATTCTTATGACAATTTCTTAGAACAATTTCTTATGACAATTTCTTATGACAATTCCTCACGACAATTTTTTATGATAAAAAATTATTGGTTCAGCACTTGATTATCGTCTTTCACCAGAGAGCCAATTTCCTGCCGCTCTTTGTGATTCCGTCGCTGCGTATCTATATCTTATAAATCCCGGCCCAAATGCTGGATTTGAACCGATCAATCCTAAAAGAATTGTATTTGCTGGTGAGAGTGCGGGTGGCAATTTGGTCTTTTCTACGCTCTTAGCTTTAAGAGACGCTGGATTGCCTTTACCAGCGGGTGGAATTGCATTGGTGAGCATTTAAGTAAATTAAGTAAATAAATGTTTTTATTTTGTCTCATCATCAGTATTTAAAATATCGTTTTGTTGTTCACATGATTCTCAAAGTCACCATGGGTATGTATGATTGAAATTCAATTTTAAATCAATGAAAAACTAACGTGGTTTCTCTTAAAAACAGGTTGATTTAACTCATAGCATGCCATCATTTTGGGATGCTAAAATAGATAAAGTAGATTTTGTACCTTCAAAACTAGGCCTTTTTGCTTTCCCTTCATCGCCTACCATGGACGAATCTCATATCAATGCAAAAGCTCTAGCTGATAAAATCTCTCTAAAAAACCCTACGATTGTTAGTCATCCTTCTTTTACTGAAGTACCTCGTTTTAATCATTATTGTGCTAACGAAGCGTTGGCAATCCCTTATATTAGGCAAGTGCTCCTATCTCACTTAAGAAATTTAATAATAACTATAATTAGATTTTAGTATTTATCATTATATAATATTTGATTTCTAGTCCCATGCTTGCTGAATCTTTAGGGAATTTACCACCTATTTTATGTGTAAGTTACTTCTTTCAATATTATGGTTTTTTTTTATTAGTTTATTGTTTTAATAATATATGCGAAATAAATTCTAGCAAGTTGGAGGTGATGAAAAATTGCATGACGAAGCTATTCTAATTAGCCATAAAGCAGCAAATCCTCATGAATACCAATTGCCTTCATATGCAACTAAAAA